ATATATATATATATATATATATATAAAATCTTTCCAAATTAATGCAGAAGTTCATTTTATCAGCAACCAAATAAGAACTGTGGCCTCACTGGCCTCCATTATCAGCTTCTATGCTGTTCACCACTGGCTTGCTAAACTAACACCACAAATTTTAGGAAGGGAAGTGAAACTTTTTCAAGCAATCTAACAATAAGACATAGAAAAAGTTATTTCCTTTTGGTTGTTGTCTACAGCTGAAGTAAAAAAGAAAAATGCCTCCCTTATTTCATCCTCTTCTGTTTGGGTTTGGGAATGACAGGGGAACAATGGGGCAGATAGTGAGGATGATGACAAATGATTTTTATCATGGAAGTGCCCCACGTCAAATACCAATATTTGGTCCAAACTGGTCATAAGGCTCCACCAAACTGCAAGGGAAAGGGGGAGTATGGTCCTCTCCTGTGCCTTAAAGGTGAACAGAACTGCACAAACATGAATGTGTGAGGTCTACCGTGCGTTACACGATCAGTTTTTCTAAATTCCCCCATCCACCCCTGAATCTTTTTAAGCCTCCTATTTGTTTTCTTATTACATATGACAGTTTTATCATCTTTTATTTGCTGCTTACGATTTTTTCCATCTCCCCAACTAGATTATAGGTTTTGTGACGGCGAGATCTAACTCCTCTTTGGTTACACAAGTCTTAGCACAGTACCCAGGACATTATAGGTGTTCAAAAATATCTGTGGGTAGAAGGAGTGAATCAATGGATGAATGAACGAATGAATGGGAAGCAGACTTGGATTTTTCTCTTCTCTTACTGCAGAGTCACCACCATGTGTACTTTGCTCAGCTTGGAACTTGAACCCTTCTACAGAGATCACGTCTGTCTGAGCCTCTTGAATCGCCAACCTTGTGATAAACAATAGGTAAATGTATCCAGGGAGAAACAGGGCAACACCAAGGAGACAACAGGGCCATAGGACAGGTTCCAGGTACAGCTGAAGGGCCATCTGGACACCCACTCCCACCCACTTTCGTCAGAGTCACCAAGCACAGTGGGGGGTCGGGGTGGAGCCACAGGCGCTGACAGAGTAGTGACTCCCCCACAACTTCCTCCTTCCTGCCCAGCTCAGCCTGTTTACTCAGCAGACTTGTCTGTAAAGCTCTCATCTTCCCCACAACAGGCCCCATTTCTCCACCACCTTCCCATACCACACATAGCTGTATTTCTTAAGGGAGGGATTTTTCTTTTTACGTTAGCTGTAGACAGCAACCAAAGGTAAATAACAATTTGTCTATATTTTATTATTCGATTCCTTAAAGAGGTTTCACTTCCTTTCTTGGGCGCAATGAGCCAAGCATGAATAGGTTTTGTGGACACTAAGTCTCAAGTTTGACTGTGACTCCACTTTGGCACTCTACCTGACCTTCTCCGGTAGTGCCGGGCACCTGCCTTACCTTATTAAGTTAATTAAAGTTTGGCTACTAATGACACTCTTCTGGTTCTCCTCCTAACTTGGTGGCTGTCCATCTAAGTGTCCTTCCCAGGCTCTTCCTCCAATCATTAATATTGGTAGTCACTAGAATTCAATCCTTTCCACATACACTTCCCGAATAATCTCCTTTTGGTGCACCACTAGCTAGGTGACCTTGGGCAAGTTATTGGCCTCTGTGTGCCTCAGTTCTTTCATCTGTGAAATGAAAATAATAATATTATGTGCCTCCTTGGGTTGTTGTGAAGATTACATGGGTTGATATAAGTAACATTCTTTTTTTGAATTTTACTAAGTTTTTAATTTTAATTCCAGTGTTCTATTAGTTTCAGTTGTATGACACAGTAATTCAGTAATTCTATACACTACTCAATACTTAACATGATAAGGGTACTCTTAATCCTCATCACCTATTTCACTCATCTCCCCACCCACCTCCCATCTGGTAACCATCTGTTTGTTCCCTATAGTTAAGGGTCTGTTTCCTGGGGTACCTGGGTGGCTCAGTTGATTAAGTGTCTCACTCTTGGTTTTAGCTCAGGTCATAATCTCATAACTCGCGAATTCAAGTCCCACATCGGGCTCTGCGCTGACAGCACAGAGCCTGCTTGGGATTCTCTGTCTCCCTCTCTCTCTGCCCCTCCTACCCCCTCTCACACTCTCTCTCTGTCTCAAAAATAAACATTTTTAAAAAACTGAGTCTGTTTCTCGGTTTGTCTCTCTCCCCTTTTCCTTTGTTCATTTGTTTTGTTTCTTAAATTTCATGAGTGAAATCATAGGGTATTTGTTTTCCTCTGACTGACTTATTTCTCTTAGTATAATACTCTTTAACTCCATCCATGTCATTGCAAATGGCAAGTTTTCATTCTTTTTTTTTATGGCTGAATAATATATATTCTATTGTGTATATAAATATATCACCTCTTCTTTATCCATTCATCTATCAGTGGACACTCAGGCCACTTCCATAATTTGGTTATGGTAAATAATGCTACAATAAACATAGGGGTGTATGTATCCTTTCAAATTAGGTTTTCATATTCTTTGGGTAAATACTTAGTAGCGTGATTACTGGATCATAGTGTAGTCCTATTTTTAAATTTTTGAGGAAACTCCATACTGTTTTCCACAGTGGCTGTACCAGTTTGTATTCCCACCAGCGTGCACAAGGGTTTCTTTTCCTCCACATCCTCCCCAACACTTGTTGTTTCTTGAGATACATGTAACGTTCTCAGACTAGTGCCAGCCGCATGGTAAATGCTCAGAACGTGCTGTCAATTACTCGTTACTCTCTTTTCCCACGGCTTTGACAACCAACTGTATGTCACCATTGCCAAATCCCCATCTCCAGTCCTTCCCTTTCCTAAGCTCTCTATGGGTATTTCTGATTTCCTATAGCAGACATTTTTGCTTATGTCCAGCAATCATCTCAAACCCAAAATAGAACTCATTTTCCCCCCAAACTTACTTTTCCTCCAGAATACTGATGTCACTTAAGGATATCAGTCTTTCAAGCTGGAAAACCGAGGGTCACCTGTAAGTGCCACCCCATTTCCTGTGCAGCTCGGTGCTGCCCCAGGACCGTCCCTCATATTCGACCTCTTCTCCACCCTCACTGAAAGTGGACCGGGCCCTTATTCCCTCACTCCACTCTAGCTGATGCCACACGGTCCTATCAGACAGAGTTAACTTCCTGAAAGAAATCTGATTTAGGCTGGAGAAACTGTTGTGCACATGTGAAAAGTGCAAAGTACAAAAGCTCATAGCAGTATTGTTTGTATTAGGAAAAAACTGGTTTAAAAAATGTCAATAAGTATCCAACAGCGTCACACAGGAGAAATTGCAAAATATTCGAACAGGAGAATGCTATACAGCAGCGTAAATAAACGCTGACACAGGGACAACCAGCAAGGATGCATGTTAAAAACATTATGTTGTTGGGCTGTCTGCGTGGCTCAGTCAGTCAAACATCTGAGTTCGGTTCAGGTCATGATCTCGCATATCGTGAGTTCAAACCCCATGTCCGCCTCTGTGCTGACAGCTCAGAGCCTGGAGACTGCTTCAGGTTCTGTGTCTCCCTCTCTCTCTGCCCCTCCTCCCCCCTCTCAAGAAGTAAATATTAACAAAAAAATATTTTTAAAAAAACATTATGTTGAGCAAGAAAAATCAAACACAAAGAAAAATTTAAGTATGACTCCATTTATAAAAAGTTCACAGTTAAAATGAAATTTTATTTTCTGAGGATGTTTATAAAAGTCATGAAACAGTAAAGAAAAAGAAAGTGTTGAGGAAGAATCACAGACACAGTGATTACTGTCTTTGGGGCTTGAATGGGATTATGACTGGGATAGAAGGGGGAGTGTTCACAAAGTTATATTTCTATACCAGGGTGAGGGGCACAGAAGTATTTGCTTTATAACTATGCTTTATACAGTATATTTGTTTTACTAGTTTTCTGACTGTGGCTTATGTTTCTTAACTTATCAGGCAGAAAAAGAAACAAATACAATCACATTATTTTCTGGTTGAATATCCTCAATATTCCCATTGTCAAGAGGACGAGTTCCGTATTCCCAGCTATATGGAATCTCTTCCCAGTCGTGCTCCAGACACCTGTGTCCCCTCCATCCCGTGCACCCCAGTTTCCCACAGCACTGCCCCCTACATTACCTGTACTGACTTATCACAGTGTTCCTCAGTTGTGTGTCTTTTCATTAGCTCTGCTTGCTGCTTGGAATGCCGTTTCTCTGTTCTTCACCTGGCAAACTACTCTCCTCCTTTAATACTTCGTCCAATGTCATGTTTTCATTGAGGCTATCCTTAAAACCCCCAAGTGGAGTTAGTAGTTCTGTTTCCTTGCTCCACACTATTAAATAAATAAATAAATAAATAAGTCCTTACAGTGCCTACTGCAGCAATCCTTTCCAGAATTCTGTCTCCCCTACTAATCTGGGAGCTCCCAGAGGGCCAGGGCCTCTTCGTATTCATCACTGTGTCACTGAGCAAAGTCAGTCGTTGCCTGTCCAGCGCTCTTCTCACTCCTGAGGGAGCTCTCACCACACCACACCACACATTAGCTGCCTCTCTTTACTTGGCTGTCTCCATTGATCATACAATTTTTGTGAGAATTGAAGTGAGATAGTGGAAAGAACCCAGCACAGTACTTAGGTCATTTTGGTTTTACAGTTAGATTTTATAAAAGATTTTTTTTAGCAGTGGTGACTCAGAAATGTGCTAGAGGGCGCTAGTTCACTGCCATAATAGGCTCTTAGCTCTATGGGGTGTTAACGTTTGACTTGATCATCTAACAGAGAATCAAAGACAGTTTAGTAAACAAATTATCAGCCATCTTTATTCAGGGAAATAAATGAATACAGTTCAAAAATTTAAGTCTGCAACTTGCTTGAAATTATTTGGGGGAAGAACAATCCAACAGCTGGATTGATGGCATCATAAACTTGTTTTCATCCCTGTTTGGTTTATTCTCCCCAACCAAGGGTTGGTCTAACTTACAGTTGGAAATGTCAAAGCAGGCAATGTTGGTTTTGGTGACGCCTTCACCTGCACCAAAATGAAGAAATGCCAAGCAAGGTGACTCCTTAACTGTGAAATGAAAGGACTGGACTAAATCATCTGCAGAGTCCCTTTCAACTCTAACATTTTGTAATCCACAATCCTGGTTCTGGAAGGAAACAGGCATGATCTCCAGAAATTACAAACATTCAACCAAAAAGTGCCAAAATTCAATCAAAAGTGAAAAAACAAATAATTCTTTAAATCTTCCAAAACAGGAAGATAAAACAAAACAAAACAAAAAAGTTTCATTCTTTCCTTCCATTGAATGCTGGGGTTTAAAAAGCAGTGTGAGCATCCCCAAAGGCAAGGGAATTAAAAGCAAAAATGAATTACTGGGACCTTATGAAGATAAAAAACTTCTGCACAGCAAAGGAAACAAACAACAAAACTAAAAGGCAACCAACGGAATGGGAAAAGATATTTGCAAATGACATATCAGACAAAGGGCTAGTATCCAAAATCTATAAAGAGCTCACCAAACTCCACACCCGAAAACCAAATAACCCAGTGAAGAAATGGGCAGAAAACATGAATAGACACTTCTCTAAAGAAGACATCCGGATGGCCAACAGGCACATGAAAAGATGCTCAACGTCACTCCTCATCAGGGAAATACAAATCAAAACCACACTCAGATATCACCTCACGCCAGTCAGAGTGGCCAAAATGAACAAATCAGGAGACTATAGACGCTGGAGAGGATGTGGAGAAACGGGAACCCTCTTGCACTGTTGGTGGGAATGAAAACTGGTGCAGCCACTCTGGAAAACAGTGTGGAGGTTCCTCAGAAAATTAAAAATAGACCTACCCTCTGACCCAGCAATAGCACTGCTAGGAATTTACCCAAGGGATACAGGAGTACTGATGC